TCTCAGTAAATGTGAGCTATTGTTACTGGAGTTAATCAGATATGCACCCTAAGCCAAGTAGCTCAGTGTGTTGGAGCCCCTCTCTTGGCTTTAGAATTAGCTCTTCAATGGGCCTTGGAACTCCTGCTTGTCCCAGTACTGAGAGCTGGGAACTTCTTCATCCCAAAGCTGCATTTAGCCACCTCCCATCACAGGATCAGGTGGCAATAATTGCAGCAACCAGTGCAGTGAATTAATTCTTTAATCTTTTAGACATCCCTACTCTCTGGTCAATCCCATATTCCAGTAATTGATTTATCAGTGTTCACTATAAAAGCTAATTAAGCACACTGGACTTTGCAGACATATCAGAAGATATGGCAGTTAGAATTTTCTGCATCCCCCAGATTAAAAACATCTATAATTTAGGGAGGAGAATTTTACCCAGTCCAGCCCCAGGAGCTGATAGATGCAGCCTGGTGACCTGATTCCTCACAAGGCTGTGGAAATAGGAACCGTAGTCTTGCCCTAGGAAAGCTGGAGAAGTGACGCTTCCATGTGCTGTGTGGGCCTGTCAAGTCCCTTTCCCAGCCCTGAGATTTTCCGATCCTAAGTGAAAGGTGAGCCTCCCCTATGGGTCCCGAGTTAGCCACCCTGTTCCTATCCCTCAGGGAGAAAGCAAACTTGGAAATCATCAGTTTATGGATAGTAATTGAAGACATGGAAGCAGAGATGGCTGTGAGCTGAGGGAGAAGGGACTAGGGGCCAAGACAGGGCCTTTTAAGGATGGCAGAGAAGGAAAACCCAGAGGTCTTATAGGATGAATATGCCGCGTTCACAGGACCAGTGTGACTCATAGCCCCACAGGTCACATTCCCTGCCATGCACAACCACCAAGCTGCTTTGATCTTTCCATGGAATCTTCTCTCCTCTTCTTACAGCCTCTCCATGACTCAAATGGGAAGAGTTACAGTCTTTTGGCCTCCTGAGAGTAAGAATCTCTCTCCTCTCTGGGATGCCCAGTATGGCAGACTCAGTCTTGATCTTTTTGCTACCCCTCCAACTTCCTGGATCCCATTCCCCCTTCTCAAGACAGGCAAGGGTGATTTATCTAATTGGACTTTCTCACTTCTGCAAGGCATAGCTTCTGGCCTGGTCTGGCTGTCTTGCCAAAGACTCTACACTCCTCTGGTTAATATCTCTGCTGGCCTACTAGTCCTAACATTGCCCTTCTCGCTGCAGAACCAGGCTCCTGGGCAGACAGTCATCCAAGCAACCTAGCCAGCATCTAGGCCTCTGCTTTACCTAATTTTCTTCCTTCTACAGCACTTACAGAAATGCTTCCAGTGTCTTCTCTCAGTGACCTCAGTGGCCCAGCATTCTCTTACTGTGGTTGCAGCCGGCAGGCAGGCTCTCTGTAGGCATCTGCCAGTTTCTTCCACAACAAGCTGGGGGGAAATAAGTGAGACCTGGTTCCTACCCTCAGAGAGTAAAGCCCTAGAGGAGGCCGCAGTGCTAAATGGGGGTCTGTTCCCCCCTGGCTCCTATCCCCCACTTCCCACCAGTACTCCCCACAACTGAGCTGGAGCAAGCAGAAGCCAGGATTGCTCCTCTGCCCATAGGGCTGGTCTTTCCAGGAGGCAAAGACAAAACTACAAACTCCCCAGTAATGGGTGCTGAGGGTGGGAGAAGAGAGTAAGTCCCCAAAGGCACAGAGACACCCAGATACAGAGCCCAGTCCCACCGGCAGGTCTCTGCTCAGAGCAGGAAGGAGCAGCTGCTGCTGGCGAGACTAGGATAGCCGGTGGCCGCAGCAGGGGCAGCATTGTTGGTGTTGCTATTTGTGTCTCTGCTCAGTGTCAGATTGCCTATTCCTAGCTATTTTCCACTGGTAGGAAAGGCCAAATCTGAGAGGCCTTTCAGTTCCCAGCAGCAAGCTACTGCATTGAGAAGACTGTTTGTTTTTCCTTTTTGGTGGGATCGGGAAGTCCTCATCAAGAAATGGAGGAAGCCTGTACCCTGGGCAAGTGCCTTTCCCTCTCCAGGTTCAATTTCTTCCTCTCTAACACAGTGGGAGAGGGAACCCAATAGGTGAAGTGTAAATGTTTACCTTCTATACCGTGATGTCCTTGCCACTGCACTGCTGTACCGACTCCTGTGTATCACCTCACTTATGCCTCCCAACGATAACAGTAGGCACACCTCCTGAGGGACTTGTAGGCTTCAGAGTCTGCTCACACATAAATGTCCTTAATTGTCACAACACTGCCAGATACACATTCTCACTCTGGTTTACAAAGGCGAAAACGAAAGACTTAAAGCAAGATCATAACTGGAAGATATGGGATTGAAATAACAATATCTGGGAAGTGTCCAGTTCTTAAGATCCTACCAGTCTCACCTGGTCAGAAGGGTAGGAGTAATATCAGTTATTCTCACCCTTTATTCAGAATCAGAGGAGATCCCCAGCAGAGGGAGGGGATTCTGACTTTCAGGGCCTGCTTTGACTGTAGTCTCACTTCCCTGCTCAGAAAGGACCTATACACCACACACAGGCTCCTTGTCATGGTATTTCTACTCTCCTACAGGCCTTCCCCACCTTCCTCTCCTATTGACCTCCCATTCCCCTTCCACAGTAACCCTTCTTATTTCACCTTCCCCACCTGCATGCAAACATATGATCCCAGCATCCCCAGCACATGTCATTTACCTGGCTCTGCCATGTGTCGGTCAGCCATAAAGTGACCACTGCTCTACCTCTCTGCCCAGTCGTTATTTTAGACCAAGCTCACCTCCTCACCTCCTGTGTAATACTTTCCCTGTCCATGCAGCATTCTCTCTCTCCCTCCCTCACTCCCTCCCTTTCTCTCTCTCTCTCTCTCTCTCTCTCTCTCTCTCTCTCTCTCTCTCTCTCTCTCTGAGTTTCTACACCACTTATTCACTGGACACCTGGCCCCTGGGCAAGTAGTGTATGTTGCCTTTTCCACTAACTAGCAATGATCAATTCCCTTCTGTATGTCACTGGGGAAGGGCCAGCCCTGGTGATTCCTTCAGGGAGGGCCCTCACCCATGTGGCCCTGGGTATGTCTTGACCCAATTCCAGTTCCTTGGATCGAGTCGGATTCCTCTTTATTGCCTCTGACCACCAGCTTTCTTCCTGCCCAGCATCTAACACTGTGATGAGAGCCAAGCTGAGCCTCGGTTAATGTTTGTTGAATGACTGAATGGGTTTTTGTGCCTCTGAGAGGTAAATAAGAATCAGCCCAAGCAATGGGAATACTTATTGTTACTTTCTGGCCAGGTCTCAAATCTAATTCTAGGTAGATTTTTGTCCTCTCTCTCCCCCCACCCCCTTCTTCCCTAAGGTTACTGGAAGCCCCAGCCAGTGGCAGAGCTGTCATGGGAATCTAGGGCTGAGGAGCTCCCCTGCATACTTCTTAGTTGCCTACAGTTTACTTTCAACCCTTCCATCAAGGCACACTGATTCCTATCAATAAGGAGGAAGTGCCAGTGTGACCTCACTGGCAACCCTTCAGCATCCCCTTTCTGGGTGCTACCACAACACAGAGGCAAGAATTACTATGGAAAAATACAGACTTGGACAGAGGGGTAGGGGGAGGCTGCTGGACCCCCAGAACAAAGGCCTTCCTCTGGAGGCATGAACATAGGTCAATGTTTAACTGAAGGGAGGATTTCTCTCTGTTCCTCCTCCTCTGTGGAGTATTCACCTTTGACCATTGACCTTTTCTGTGAGGTGTGAGATCTGAACAAAGTTGAACGTGGTCATGGATGGCTAGATACCCACCTTTCCTCCTGCCCCCACTTCTGCCATCTGCCTTCACAGAAGATGGCCTGAGGTATGCAGCCCACCCCCTAGTTGTGGCGACTGGCAAGAAAAGAAGACACACATGCCCACAGGAATGAAAGTTGGCCATGACCCTCCGACCCTGTAGAATGCAGAGACTCGACTCTGAGACGCAATAGGCGTGCTGTACTAAGGCCAAGCCTGGCCAATGGGAGCGAGTGCAACAGGAGGAGGCATGTGGAGTCCCCACACTAGACACGGCTCTCCAGACTCTGGCTTTGCGTTCTTTCTTCCTACCTACTCCTCTTTCCACTCCTCCCCTGCCCCCAGGGACCTGTAGGCCCACTGCATAAGACATTCTTTATGCTGCTGGCAGAAGCCCCCAGCACCAATCTTCACAGCCCCCTGCCTCCCCCTCGTATGTTTTATTTAGTGCAATGTGGTCGCCTGCAGTTTCACCCCTCTGTGTGCCTCATTGAGTTCGGGGAGAATCGCTGTCCAGTGCCTTCATTTGCTCAGGATGACTTTTCCATTCTGTGCCTTCCGTGTGCATTTCACTGGAATTTTCCCATCGTCTCCAAGCTCCAGTTGGCTAGAACCAGCGTGCCATCTCCACTTTGATGTGTGTGACTGTTTGGTGCTGGCCTGAGGGTGGGTTGAGGGACTGGGGGCTAAGCCTACCAGGGCCTCACCTCCATCCAAGCCTGGGCTGGGCCTTTGGGAGGACTGGGATTTCTTTGGTTTCAGACTTTGTTCGTGCTGAAGCCACTGAGAGCTGAGCATGAGTATGTAGTGAGTGCCTTTGAGCTAGTCTCCGTGATCCTCCCCTAAGCAGCCCTGCCACACTGCCAAGCGGCTTTGAACTTTCAGGCTACTTTCCAAATCCGCAGAACCCCAGAGGAGGAAGAAACCCTGAGGGGCTTTATCCTCACATCCTTCCCTGCCCCCAGCCCTGTGCAGTAGGCATGACTATAGGAAGTCAGTCGGCTGGCCACGGGAGGAGCAATAGAGGAACGGATGATACCTGTGTCAGCTAGTGAGAAATCTGTGGAACCCTAGTTGGGCTGTGCCAGGAACAGGCCGGGAACACCCCCTGCAAAGCTGCCAGTGGTCAAACCAGATTCTGATCTCTCTTCACCTTGATCTCAGCTCTTGCTGCTTTCTTAAAGGTCCATCTTGTCATGCTCTTTAAAGGAATATTTTATTTTCAATACAGACACAGCCCTTGATGTAGCAGTAAAAAACTTCACCCCTGAGAGACACATGGCTGTGAAGTGCTTTGGTATGTAACACGTAACTTCCTGTCTTTGCCTACATGCAAGGGTTTGTCCCACTGGTCTTTTTGTCCCTTGAGAGAGTGCCTTCCTTCCCACTTGTGCCCAGGCTCAGGAGGCCCTGGAGTGAAGGCAAGAGGTCAGCTCAGACAGCAGGTCCTTTCTGGCAAGGGACTGGTTTGGGATGGGGAATGGTTGCCATCCTTCACCCAACAAGAGTTTCTTTGACATCGCTACTCCCTGCCCCCCACTCTGAAGATGGAAGTCAAATTTTCGGACTCTGCTGTGCAGAGCAGAGAGGTCACTAGGCTCTAATGCATTTACCATTGACTGCCCCTCTTGTAGTGCGTCTATTAGTGAGTAATTTGATTTGTACCTATTCATTTGCAGTCCCTGCAGGAGCCTGGAGCTGGCCCCTAGTATAATTGGTGCTGTCTCTATTTTTACATCATTAGATTAGCCCCGACTCCTGGCCACTTGTTGTCTGCGCTTGTCTGTCCATTTATACAACCTAATGTAACACAAAATTCATTACTGATCACATTACTTTCAACTCTGAAGCCAGCCTTGTGATAAACATTTGGTTAACCCCTTCCTACCCATGGGAAGGCTGAGAGAACAAATGCACTTCCACCCGACAGGCAAATCAATATCTTAATACACCAAAGTGGAATTGCATTTCTAGATTTGTTATTCCTCCTGGAGGAGCAAATGGAAAGGCTCGTCTGAGCTGGCTGAATTGAATAATGAATAGAGCCCCGGCACCAGCAGCCAGTCTGAGAACGCAGCACAAAGACAAACCCGGCATCAGCCCAGCCTTTTCCATCTGGACAGGCGGCGGCACCACAGCAACTAATTACAACTGTGCTTCTCTCCAGTCACAGTGTGGGCTTGAGAGCATGGGCTGGGACCCTAAATGGGGGCAGCCCCAACTCCATTCCTTTTTCTAGGCTTGGCCAAGAACTGGTCTCGTTTCCTTAAAAGCTTATTCACTGATGTAAAGGCTCCCAGACACATGGACTGACACTAAATGTCACCAAGAAGTCTATTACTGAACTCAGGTTTGCCATTTGGGAACAAAGACAAAAAGCTATTCCTTTTCAGAGCCAGGTCAGTGATACTGGGATTGGTTGGTCCACACCAACTTGCGTGCGTGTGCCTGTCCCGGGGCGAGCATTCTTTGGCATACAGATGCCACCGTGTGCGCCTGTACATGGTTCTGATTCTCTGGTGGGGATGTTTGTGAGCAGCATGTGGGACTCTACCGTAGGAGCTGGCCAAGAGTCTTAAAGGGACCTCAGCACTGTGCTGTTTAATCTAGAAGATTCTCTCCTACTCCCACCTGGTCTTTCCCTCCCCAACCCCCATTTGTCTCTGGGTAGTGTCCACACCCACAAGTCAATAACTTGCAGGACAGTTTGTTTCAAAAGGAAAAATACTTCCACTTATTAAGAAACTCTCATAAAAACTGTACCACGATGATTAGAAAAATAGGCATAGAGGAAGTAGAATGGAACCCATTACCATGAAAGTCATAAATCCCTGAGTAAAAAGAAACCATAAGCTGAAGATACTCAGGTGGAAAAGGAAGCTGGGAAAGGCAGCCCATTTAGGGAACGTTCTGCTTGGAATTAGGGGAGTCCTGAGCTGGAGGCTGAGGAGGATAGGCACTGAAGCCTGGGGTTAATGGGTTTCCTTCAACTGAGCAGGACATGCTCCCTCTCAGAAGATTGCACCTCGGACCCTGCTGTCCCTTACCCTGTCCAGAGCCCTTTACAGGCCAGAAGTGACAAGCAATCCTGTGAGACAAAGGGGTCACAGGGACTCCTTGAGAGGCCTCAGGTGCCACTCTTGGCCCTGTCATTAGACTGATTCCGCCAACATTTCTCATGCCTCTCCTTCCTGTATGGTAAGTGAGGGGACTCAGAGAGAGGGGCACCACCTTGCTGTAGTCCCAAGGCCCCAAGTTGAGAGGTAAGAGGTACAGGGCAGTTGCCTCCCCCTACCCTGGGCTGTAGGGCCATGCCTCAGGCACAGGGGGTTCCTTGACCCAAAGACCCCAGGGCCATGACTCTAAGGAGCACTTCCTATTGTAAGGAGCCTTGAAGAAGGGATTCCCTCGGCAGGGTATTGTAAGACACCCCTATATCCTAGCAATGGAAGGACACTGGTGTACCACTGAAGTGAGCCTGGACACAGTGACTGTCTCCTCAGAGTCAGGGGAGATGCTTTCAGCAAGAGTGGGGGCACTAACCTCCCCCACCCAACCCCCAGTGCACTGACTTGCTCAGCTGCAACCCTGCAGCTTTGGTCTCAGCTGTTAATCCTCTCAGGTGGGTAAATGGAACAGTTGGGGGAGGGCTTTGTGTATCCCAGCTAGCCCCAGCCCCATAAGCTCTAGAAAACAGATAAGAGCACAGGCCTTTGCAGAACAGGACAGACCAGTGGCAGGGAGGAGAGCGAGTCTGCCGGTGGAATGAGAGACTGTGATTTCTTAACCTTGATGGAAAAGGGGGAAAGCCACATCTTACCAAACTCTTCCGCTGCGTCGTAGAGAATTTAATTACATTTGGACATTTGAATGAGAACCAGATGTGGCGCTGGCCCACAGGCTAGCAGCGTTCAAAGAACAGCGGCTCTCCTGTGGTCTGCAGGCCCCATGCTATCACTAAGGCTGGAGGTTGGCTTGGGAAGATCCCTGCCTGGGAGTGGGGTGGGGTCTTCCCAGCTTCATGACTGGACTTCAGGAGACAGGCGGGTCAAGGCCAGCTGCCAGGCACCTGGTGCCAAGAGAGACTCCAAGTCCTGTCTCCTTTTCATGGCTGTGCAAAGTCAGACTCGCTTGCTGGTGCTGAGACGACTCCTTGACGGGGCCCACTCATTGGCACCCACACACAAAGAAGGTGTATGGCAGCACCTGGCCATTCTCCATCACCAAAGGCACATCTGCCGTGCTGCTCAGCTCTGAGTCAGTCTCAAATGGCATCTTCCAAGGCTCTGCCCCCAGGGGTGGTGTTGAGGACCTAGAGCTATCAAGGGCGTTTCAGCCCCGCTCCTAGATGAGGAGTGCTTCTCCAGAGCCTTCCATCTGCTAAAGACACCGGAGGCTGCAATGCTTGTTTTCTAACCAGAGGTCTTGCCCTTGTGTCCGATGTGGCTTCCTCTTCTTAAAACCCCTTAGTGTGCTTGTCTCATAAGAACTGACACACCCAGTGAGGTTGCTAAAGCAGACCCTCCTCTCCTGAGGTAGATGAGAGGTGAAGTGACTGACGGGTCTGTGACAGAACTGAGGCCACAGCAGAGTCTCGGCCTCCTTCCATGGTCATGTAAAACTGCAGGTTAGGGCTTCCCTTGCAGCTGGCTGGTGGTAAACATTAGAACTAGGGTCAGATGAGCTGGGTCAGCTCAGCCTTTTCTGCCCCCATGTATAGTATGTGGTGACAGGAAGTACTCCGCCTTGGTCAGGATTTAAAGTTACACAAATGTAGTGGGCACTGAGAGGGTCGCTGGATATGAGGTTCCAGTTGAGGTGGTCTGGGTGGGTGATCCTTCCACCTTCTCCTTTGAAGACGTGAGGAGGCCTGGGTAATGTGGGTTTCCTGGGAGTGAAATGTGTGGCTTTTCTGGAGGGAATTGGCCCCAGCCCCCAACCAGGCCAGTGTACCCTCTGGCTCAGACCCTACCCACCGCCATTGTTCTTCCGCAGTTCAAAGGCTGTGAAGGAGAACTTGGGTGGGACTGGGAACTCCCCCTGCAATTCCAGTACCACCCTCTCAAGCCTCCCTGGCCCCACAGTGGGCTTTATTGGAGAGGGGGCAAGTGCCATAAGGGACAGGCATGGATGGTGAACATGGGGCAGGACACCAAGAGGGGCCCTCCCTCCTGAGTGTTCCTCACTCCTCAGGCCTTTCTGCTTCTCCTTTTCCTACTTTTTTTGGGGGGGTGGTTTGGAGTTTCACTCTGTTCCCCAGGCTGGAGTACAGAGGCACACTCATGGCCACCACAGCATCGAGCGTCGACCTGCTGGTCTGCAGCTATCCTTCCACCTCAGCCTTCCAGGTAGCCAGAACTACATGCACACACTACCATGCCTAGCTAATTTATTGTAGAGGCGGGGTCTCGCCAAGTTGCCTGGTCTGGTCTTGAACCCATGGGATCAGGCAATCCACTCTCCTCGGCCTCTCAAAGTGCTGGGATTAAGGCTGAGCCACCAAGCCCAGCCCCCTTTCTCATTTTTATTCACCAGCATTCCAACACACACATCTCCTGTTAGCATGCCCTTGTCCCTGCCATACCCATCAGGGATTCAGGGATCCAGCCTATTTCTAAGCCACACCTCCTGGTGTCCATGCTACACTGGCCTGCTGTTATAAACAGGGCTTCCAGAGGCCTGAGAACCTTTTCCTCTTTAGCTACTGGAAAGAAAGGGAGCTGGGGAGGACAGGTGCCATGCCTTCCCCAGTTTTTTGGGTGTAAGAAAAGGCACAAAGAGGGCCTTCTGCTTGCCTGTCTCACAGTCTCCTTTAGCTGTCACTCTTTCCAGGTGTTAGTCATGACTTTTACCTTCTAGGGACAGTGGATGCCCCGGGAGCATCTTGACGTCTCCTTAGCCTCGGGTCTTCCCACAAACCCTTCTGGGGCACCTGTGCATGGCCCCAGAGATGTACCTTCAGTGTGTGGAGCTGAGAGGGTGGGGGCGTTGGGGTGGCAGGATGAGCCATGTGGTCTTGGCCTCATTCTGCAACAGCGTTCTGGGTCTTAGTATCAGCACGAGTCAGGAACAAAAGCTGGGCGAGGAGGAAAGAAAGTGTATTCCTGGGAGCCCCGTGAGTTGAAAGAGACTCCAGCCAGGAAGGAGGCCATGCCAGTCCCCAGGTTGATGACAATAGCTCTCAGAAGCCCAGGTTATGTGTGGCAGGGATGAGGGGGAGGTACCAGAGCCTGTGGCCCACTCTGCCAGGGATCTGTGCTCAGACTTAGGTGTTAAGTCCTGGAGATAACAGCAGAC